GTGGCTAAAGATGATATCTGTTTATCCTGATTTACTGAGGGTGAATCAAAAGAAGCAGCAGGTTTTTTTCCTTTTCCAAAGATACTACTTTCTTTTTCTTCTGAAAGAGATTTATTTTTAGAGGACTGTGGAAGTCAGTGCCCGCCGGTTTTCATTATAAACAGTGACTTTTAGGAGTAGGGTGCTGTGGGGGGGGGCACTTTGAGAGCTCCCGGGTGAGAGCTGAGCTTGCTTAAGGGAAGTCTGGGGGCCCGGTCCCCTCACTTAGGGGCCCTGTGCATCCTGAGCAAGTCGCACTGCTGCGAGGCCTGTCTGAACGTGGGGGCACGAGTGACTGCTGCCTCCTAGTGCGCCGTAGTGCTAAGTGAGGCAGTCTGTGTGAGATGCTCAGTGTGGTGTGTGATGCTTGTTGAACACTTATGTCAGCAATTTTTAAAAATGAAAGCTTAGTGAAAGAATCAGATTTTGAGGTAATCATCTAATTGTGTAAAAGTTAAATAATTTAAGTAATCATGTTTTGTTTTCAAATTTCTTGCAGAAATATTGTGTCTACAGTGAATCTTGGTTGTAAACTTGACTTAAAGACCATTGCACTTCGTGCCCGAAATGCTGAATATAATCCCAAGGTCAGATCTATTTTAATGTATTTCAAACTCTATAATGAAAAAGGAATTTACTTCTGAAAGTTCCTAGATCAGAGAGTTTGCGTTATGCTTAAGTTTCTTGACACCAACAAAATGAGGATCTAAAGTAAAATGTGTATTGTTTTTTATCTTGGATATTTAGCAAATAGACCAATTTCATTCATTCAACTCGTATGTTATTATCTGCAATGGAAGAGTCCTAGGAACATAGCAGTCCACAAGTTAAACAAAGTTTATATGTACATCATAGTGGGGATCATATGAAGTTTGAGAACAGATTCTATATTATGACCCGTTTATGATTTGGGAACTATACCATAGAATGGACATGGTATCTGGAATTTACCTCAAAATAATCCTGTGGGAGAATTGGTAAGGGAGCGTATGGATGAAACAAGGTTGACCAAGAGTTAGTAATTGTTAAAGTTGGATAATAAGTACAGGAGGTTTATTATAATCTATTTTTCTATCTTTCTATAACTTCTAAGTTTTTTTACAATAAGAAGGTTAGGAAAGAAAAAGAACTGCACAAAATTTCTGATTTTAAGATAGCAACCTGAGTATGTATTAAAGCCTTTTGCACCTACACCAGCAGAAAAGTTGTTTTTAATGTAGAAAACATTTGCATTAAGAAACGAGTGGACATTCCTAGAGGCCCAGTCGGAACCGAGGCATCTGGGTCTGAGGAAGGTCAGGTTGAAGCGCTGACCCTACAGAAGACAGCTCCCACGGTACAGTGGGGCCGTTGGTCAAAGAATCGCTCAGGCACGTGCATACTTTTATACGTGGGAAACCGATATTAAATTGATTTCATCTAAGAAAAGAAAAACAAATTCTATTTAAGAAAAAGGGAAGAAAGCATAAGGAAAAACAAGGGACAGTTTTTAAAATAGTCTTTCATTTCTTGAGTAAGGTGCTGCCTTGGCAGCTGGCAGAGAGGCCGGTCAGGCTTTTCTGCCCTGTGGCAGTTATTTCTGGATTCTCTGGAAACCTTGAGAATTTACCCTTGAGTCATATGTGACAGGCTGCCTCTGTACATGTCTGTCAGTGTCTGTGTTGGGGCCTCCTCCCTAGTCATGCCCGGTTAAAACCATTCCCTTACCAGTGTATCTGAGTTCCCCTTTTCGGTTAAACTCTCAATGCAGGTTGGCCATGGGGGCTTCACTCTCATATAACTTCATTCGTTGAATGTCATTTTGAGGTGATGGCTGTATAGGGGCGTTTAAGTGCCTGGATATTAGGCAATAGAGGAGGAGAAAGTAAGAATAGTCTTGAATATCGTAAGAAACATGTGGAACCTGCTTCATTTTTAGTTTGCTCGAGGCTAACCAGGAGAATAATTCCCAAGCATCAGCTTAGTCACTTTTAGCTAACCAAATTTTTTTTTTTAATTGATTATTCTACTTTTTTTCTCTCTCTCTCTCCAAAATATTTATCCAGGCATTAAAAGATGAATTAACTATTGTACAATTCTCACTAGGCTGGCTAATAAATAATTGTGGATGGTCCTGTTACCTGGGACTCTTTTAGCCAATACATTTATGATAATTTGTTGGGCTTCTTAAGCTTGAGCTGTTTCATTTGCCTTGTGAGCCATAGTCTAGATCACATGTTTTAGTTCAGGAACTCCTAGCCAGGGTAGAATTTTTTGTACAAACCATTGAAATCCATTTTTTCATAATCTTTTTTGATAAGTTTCCATTTCAGTGTCTTAATTACATATATTGCCTGAGATTTTTGTTTTGAAAGCTTGGGAAACCTGGATAACAAATTTAATGGTGGAGAAAACAGCAAAAAAGAGTTAATATTAAGGGGAAGAAGTGAGAGAAAGAGGCTGTAAATAATAAAACTTAAGTCTGGGCCAGGTGCAGTGGCTCACGCCTATAATCCTAGCTCTCTGGGAGGCCGAGGCGGGCGGATTGTTTGAGCTCAGGAGTTCGAAACCAGCCTGAGCAAGAGCGAGACCCC